TGCCACAACTACTGAAGCCCGCACACCTTGAGCCCCTGCTCTGCAACAAGAGAAGCCACCGGAATGAGAAGCCCACGCACCGCAACGAAGAGTAGCCCCTGCTTGCCGCAACTAGAGAAAGCTTACGCGCAGCAACGAAGACCCAATTCAGCCAAAAAAAAAAAAAAGGCAATCTACAAACTAGGAAAGAATATCTGCAATGCATATATCTGAAAAAAAGTTATGTCCAGATACAAAGTATTTGTACTTGGAACATATAAAGAATTCCTAGAGCTCAATGATAAAAAGACACACAACCCAAGTTAAAAAATGGGCAAAATCCTTGAAAGAGTCAGACGTAGGGGCCACAGTGAGAAGTTTGGATTTTTTGGACTTTATAAAAGAGTCCAGGGCTTCCCTGGTGGCGCAGTGGTTGAGAGTCCGCCTGCCGATGCAGGGGACACGGGTTCGTTCCCCGGCCTGGGAAGATCCCACACGCCACGGAGCGGCTGGGCCCGTGAGCCATGGCCACTGAGCCTGCGCGTCCGGAGCCTGTGCTCCGCAACGGGAGAGGCCACAACAGTGAGAGGCCCGCGTACCGCAAAAAAAAAAAAAAAAAAAAGAGTCCAAATGGCCAATAAGCATATAAAAATGTGCTCAGCATCTTAAGTCATTGGAGAAATGCACATTTAAACCATAATGAGGTGATATTACAATCCCTCGAGAATAGCTAAAGATGGGAAAGTCTGACAATATTGTTGAGGATGTGGAGCAACTAGAATTCTCATATATTGTTGGTCAGAATGGAAAATGGTGCAGTCATTTTGCAAAAGTGTTTGACACTTCCTTACAATATTAAACATAAACCTACCCTTCAACCAGCAGTTGCATTCCTGGGAGTTTACAAAAGAGAAATGGAAACACATATCCACCAAAAGACTTGTGCATGAATGCTTGTATCAACTTGATTCGTAATAACCCCAAGGTGGAAACAACCCAGATGTCCCGCAGTCAGAGAATGGACCAATTGTGGAGTACTCACAGATGGCAAACCACTCAGCCATACAAAAGAATGAGCTACAGATACAGAAAACCACACGAATGCCTTATCTGCCTGGCAGAAGACAGACGTGAAAGAGTACATACCATACGATTCCATTTATGTAAGTTCACGAACAAGCAAAGCTAGTGAATATTGATGCAAAGAGAAGAGGGGTTGCCTGTAGGGGGTAGGGACTCAGAAAAGGAGCAAGAGGGCACTTTCTGGGGGGCACGGGAACATTCCATGATCTTAATTGGTGTGATGGTTACATAGGTAGGTAATGGACCAGAACTCATGCATTTATGCTCTGTGCATTTCACTGTATATAAATTTTACCTTAATAATGAATATTAGATCACCATGCCTGATGTTTGGGGCAGAGTGGAACAGGAGGCCAGCTGGGAGGTTGTTACAATAGTCCAGGTGCAAGATGATGGTGGGAGATGTTAGAAGTGGCCAGAATTGGGGTCTCTTTTTTTTTTTTTTTTTTTTTCAGTATGCGGGCCTCTCACTGTTGTGGCCTCTCCCGTTGCGGAGCACAGGCTCCGGACGCGCAGGCTCAGTGGCCATGGCTCACGGGCGCAGCCGCTCCGCGGCATGTGGGATCTTCCCGGACCAGGGCACGAACCCGCGTCCCCTGCATCGGCAGGCGGGCTCCCAACCACTGCGCCACCAGAGAAGCCCTGGGATCTCTTTTGGAGGGAGGGTCAGGACTGGATAGCCCAGTAAGCAACAACCTTGTTTAGAGCAGGCCCCAGATGACTGAATCCTTGAAGCCTTGAAAATTTATTTATTCTATTTGTATATTTTACTCCGATTCCTTCTCTTTCTAAAATAATTTAAGGCTCATTGTAAAAAAGGACATGTATTCAGTAAGACTGAGACGATGTAACTAAAATAGGGAAATTGAAACTAGAAGACAGAAGAAGCAAATATGCCAGTTTGGGGACTGATGTTAGAAAACTAAGATCAGGAACCTGTTTTTGCCCAGTCCTCTTGGTAGGGCTCCTAATGGGGCCCACTGATGGGCTATGAAGGGGACAGCAAGCGTCTTTAATATCAGAGGGAAGACAGCTCAGAGTATAGATACACAAGCAGTGGTGAAGAAGAAGATTTTAGCTGAAGAAGAAGATTTGTCTTTTAGAGACTCTCTGGGCTTATAAAACCAAAAATATACATTTTTGTAAAATTTGATTTGTTAACAGAATATTACACCATGAGGGTCTGATACATCAAGTGCTCTACAAAGAAGTGGGGTTTATTTTCGGGAAAACTACCTTCCTTCTGTTTGAGACTGAATTTATTAAACAAAAATGTAAATGGCATGGGGTATAATTTAGGATAAAATACAAGTTTGAGTATATTCTCTATACATTTATGGAATCATTATCATTAAAAATTACTATAAACTAACAGTCTGATATGGGAATTGAGTTTGGCTTGAATGTATTAAATCTAAATGAAGGCAGCCACTGATACAGTAGAGATACTGCAAAAATGTATGCTGAAAAATACATTAATTATTGACTGATCATTATCAGTATGGGCAGCTCAGTATGCTGCCAATTGAATGTGAGGGGAACCTTGCCAATATTAGACATTTTTAAAGAACAGTTAGTGGATCGGAAATGAAAGAAGAACTGAAGAGAGAATTTACGTGTGGAAAAGATATTTAAAAATATATGCTAGTAAGGAAATCCATCAAATCAAGCCTCATCTTAGTTCTGGAACTTTTGCTCGATGTCTTGAGATGGACCAGCCCAAATGAATGCTTAAATCAACATCACAGCATTAATGGCAAACTCCTACAGCATCGCCCATTGGATCTAATAGCAAAGATCGCGGTCCTGTGCAGAGACTCGGGAAGGAAGAGAACTGTCACGAACAATTTATAATGCTCCAGGATGGCTACATTTGGGATTGGTTCTTTAGCAAGTGTGACTGCAATTTATTTCAGACCGGTGAGTAAAAATGACCACAGTTGGATACCACCAAAGACAAAGTCATTCTCCTGCCTCCACAGTGTAAATGGAGAGAATGAAATATGAAGAAAACCAAGACCGGTTGGAGATTCTGAGGGATTTACTTAGTCCTGATGGTTAAGGTTTGGCTCCAGCAGAGCAAGTGGTTTAAAGGGAGGAGGGGGTTGTTGGAATGAGGTGGGCTGGGGTGACTGTCAGCAAGGTTACCTGGGCACTGGGACGTGTTGGTGTCAGGTGCTCTCTTGCGACAAGGCTGGTGGTACAAAAGAGGGGTGGGCTGGTGATAAAGATTGGACCACCCAGGGTCCCGGGGCTCCCTCCAGCTTAACAATGAAGGGCACTGAGGGCTGGGGACAAGAGGTCCATGTGAAGAATATGAAGATCTGGTTTCTGGCCCTTTTTCTACCACTTACTAGGTGACCCTGGTTGGACAAGTCTTTTGACCTCCCTGAGCCTAGACTTTTCCATCTGTGACACAGGGTCAGCACTCCCTGCCCTGCTCAGCTCCTCCTGGAGGACTGTTGTGGGGATCTGCGGGACAGAGGGCCCAGGGGCCCTCCAAAAAAGCCCGCGAATATCCACTACAGTTGTTTTTTATTATTTGCTGGGAACGAACCCTCCCGTGTGAGCGGATACTGGAGCCAGGCAGTGGTACGTGCTCCAGCCTTGGAGGAGTATTTTAGGAAATAATCAATACAAGATGCACTGGGTTTGAGCCACGATAAGAGTCATAAATGTTGACAGTCTGCTGCTTGATAAAATTAATAATGCTTGAGAGAAACATTGTAAAAACCTATGGGAGGGAAAGCAGAGTGTGTCTGGGGAGAGAGTCTAAGCCAGTATGGAAACTGTCCTCCAAGGAAGGTCGGCCCCTCCTCCTGCTGGTGGGGAGGTTTACACACACATACGCACATGTACACACAGGCATACACGCTCCACACACATATGCACTTGTGCACATGGGCAACAAGCACCAGCTTTGTTGGCTGCATCTCAGAAGAGACTGGTGAATGAGAAAGGCTAGCATTAATTCCAACAACAGATAATTGGAATTACCTTTGGAAGAAATGCCACCTGCCTCTGAAATTCTAAAATAAAACAGCGACAGTGTTCTTGCCCTGTCCCACTTCTCGCTGGTGGAGAAGAGCGTGCTTGTGTAGCTTTGGGATTCGAGGCTGCTGTGCACAGCAAGGGAGAAGAGGGTAACAAAGGGGGACCGGACCTCATGGTTTTTAATCAAAGCCCTGAGATGCTCTGTGGTTAGAAAGGAAAGGGAAGAATACTGCTTTTCCTGTGTCCAGAATGTTCCCAAATCTTCCAAATCCTCTGTCTGGGAGGATTGTCCAAGACGTCAAGATTGTCACCTGGACTTGTGCCAGCTGCTTGCTGTTGGTGGGAGCGTCGGTGCAGAGATGCTGCAGGTTTGAGTTGCTGTGTAGAACCGTGGTAGTGGTGAGGAGGCCCAGGGACAAACTTGGTTAAGTCCACGTGAGGCCAAAGGGGAGTCTGCCAGGGGCTGGCCTCCATGCACATGCAGTCGACTTCCTGTCGTGTGAGAGTCTTTACTTCGTCTGTGGTCAGAAACCAGACGACCCCATTAAAAAAGGATGCTCACTACCATATATAAAAGAGATAAACAACAAGGTCTTACCGTACAGCACAGGGAACTTATTCAATATCTTGCAATAAACTATAATGGAAAAGAATCTGAAAAGAAAAAAAAAATATATGTAAAACTGAATAACTTTGCTGTACACCTGAAACTAACACAATATTGTAAATCAACCAGACTTCAATAAAAGTTTTTTAAAAAGGGATGAAAACACTGGCTACTCTTCAGTAGAGTGGTGGAATTATTCTTAATTTAAAAATTGCTTTGGCTGTGTTGAATTTTTTATTCTAAAAGTAACATCTGTTTATTATTTTAAAAAATGTTAATTTAAACGGTCAGAAAAAACCGTAAGGAAATCTTGACATTGGGTCTGTCATGTTTTCAGGCAGAGAAAACAACAAATTTTGTCAGTCGGAGCCTGGTCATAGGAGAAGTCCTCTCATAGCAGACATGGCCCCAGGAGTAAAGGTGAGAGACACTGGGCAGCCTGCCCTTCATGAACTGATGGGGTTTTTTTGTTTTGTTTTGGTTTTTTGTGGTACGCGGGCCTTTCACTGTTGTGGCCTCTCCCGTTGCGGAGCACAGGCTCCGGATGCGCAGGCTCAGCGGCCATGGCTCGCGGGCCCAGCCGCTCCGCGGCATGTGGGATCTTCCCGGACCGGGGCACGAACCCGTGTCCCCTGCATCGGCAGGCAGACTCTCAACCACTGCGCCACCAGGGAAGCCCAGTCGTGCCCATTTTCAACTGCATACAGCCCCTACCCTATTCCTGTCCTTCGGCAACCACTAGTCTATTCTCCATCTGCATGGTTTTGCCATTTCTAGAACGGTATATAAATGGAAGTTCATTAATTTTTGACTACAGAAAGATATTCCTTTGGGTGAATGTGCCGCAGCACTTGGAATTCTTAGACTTCTCCATTTTTGCTGATCAAATGGGTATAAAATGGCATCGCACTGTGGGCTTGCTTTGCATGTACCAGCTCACCAAGGATGGTAAACAGAATAGCTTGAAAGGTGTGACTGCCGTGGCCCCTTCCTGTGCCCTGAGCCTCCCAGCAGGCATGCGGCCCTGCATGTGCCCTCTTCTCCCTCCCTGGACACCACTGCATCACCAAATCAGTCCCCACCTGTAAATATCCAGTCCTGATGTCCCCAAAGGGGAGAAATTATAATTAGAAAATGATGAATGAATGATCAGACAAGAAAGCAGGTCAATCATTGATGAGTCCAAGATGGAAACTTTCTGTTCTGCAATGTAGACATTTAAAAATGGGTAGGAATTAAAAACGAAGAAATCTGTGAGCACCAGCTGGGGTGAGGGCGCCCACCATTAGGTCCTTTGGGGAAAACTGGCTTCCCTATGAATTCATCCAGACAGGGTCTCTTCTCTCTGGGATGGGTTGGCTGTGGCTTCCAGAGAGAAGAAAGTCAGCTGAGATGCAGCAAGTAGATCCTCCTCTCAGAAATCCTAGAGGATCCTGGTTCAGACTCATGATCCTCCGTTGGTGCTTTTAACATATGCCCACACCTGCCTTCTCTTTAGCAAGCCTCCGGTGGGCCATGACCATGGGGAAGTCTTCATAGGGTGTTGCAGCTCTCTGGGTGGGGAGCCCTCTCCTCTGCACCTCCAGGGTATTGCACTGAGCCTGGTGCACAGAGTTGCATAGGGAATGTTTGAGCAAATGAGGGAGGGGCAGCTTGTAGTTTCAAGCAGGACTTAAGAAACATTTCAACCCATTGCAATATGTGGACCTTATTTAGATCCTGGTTCAAACAACAGACTGTAAAGAAAAACTAGACGTCAGTTGGGGAAATTTGAAATTGGATATTTGGCAGTATTAAAGAATTATTATTATATTTGAGGTGGAATAATGGTTGTAGGGTCATGCTTTTAAAAAGAGTCTTTAGGGCTTCCCTGGTGGTGCAGTGGTTAAGAATCCACCTGCCAATGCAAGGGACACGGGTTCAAGCCCTGGTCCAGGAAGATCCCACATGCCGCAGAGCAACTAAGCCCGTGAGTCACAACTACTGAGCCTGGGTGCCACAACTACTGAAGCCTGCGTGCCTACAGCCCGTGTTTTGCAACAAGAGAAGCCACTGCAATGAGAAGCCCGCGCACCGCAATGAAGAGTAGCCCCCGCTCTCTGCAACCAGAGGAAGCCCGCGCACAGCAACAAAGACCCAATGCAGCAAAAAATAAATAAATAAAATAAATTTTTTAAAAAAAGAGTCTTTATTTTTTACAGATGCATAGGAAATACTACGTATGGATGAAATGACAGGATGTCTGGGATACACTTCGAGATCATCTGGGGTATAGAATGGGAGAGTGAATTGGGGGAAAGATTAATAAAATGGATCATGAGCTGGGCATCACTGAGTTTATGATACTCTTCTATTTTGTTTGAAATTTTCCACAATAAAAAGCTTTTTAAGAAAGTTTTACTTCTGAGTATCCTAGAAGGAAATTTGAATAGATTTAAAGGACTGGATCTTTAAAAATGCTTCTCTGATCACATCAATCTCAGCTGAAAACCCCTTCCTGTTAGCTTTAGAGAAACCCTCCAACCCTTGAGATGTCTCACAGGTTCTCGTGGGGTATGGCCCTACACTCATGTCTCCAGACACCTTCTGTGCCACGTAGTCCTACCTGGGAGATCTGCTGTCTTGGCCTTCTTTCAGTCCCTTGTTTCCATATTTTGACCACTCATGCTATCATCCTAGAACGATCTTTTCCCCTCCTTCACCTGCCTGACACCTGCTCATTCTTCAAGTCCCAGTTCAAGTGTCCTTCCTTCAGGTAAACCTCCCTCAAGCCTGCAGTTTAAATCCCACGTACATGTTGTCATCTGTCTTTGTGCCTTGCAGTATTCTGTCATGGCATTTACCCATTTTTTTCCTTATGATCACGTTTTTTTTTTGGAGGGGTTTAAGATTAATTTTTATTGGAGTATAGTTGCTTTACAATGTTGTGTTAGCTTCTATTGCACAGCAAAATGCAAGGATTCTGCAGTATATGCAAATCAAGCAATGTGATACACATGATACACAATTAACAAATTGAAGAATAAAAACCATATGATCATTTCAATAGAGGCAGAAAAAGCTTTCGGCAAAATTCAACACCCATTTATGATAAAAACTCTCCAGAAAGTGGGCATAGAGGGAACCTACCTCAACATAATAAAGGCCATACATATATGACAAACCCACAGCAAACATTATTCTCAATGGTGAAAAACTGAAAGCATTTGCTCTAAGATCAGGAACAAGACAAGGGTGTCCACTCTCGCTGCTATTATTGAACATAGTTTTGGAAGTCGTAGGCACGGCAGTCAGAGAAGAAAAAGAAATAAAAGGAATCCAAATTGGAAAAGAAGAAGTAAAACTGTCACTGTTTGCAGATGACATGATACTATACGTAGAGAATCCTAAAGATGCCACCATAAAGCTATTAGAGCTAATTAATGAATTTAGTAAAGTTGCAGGGTACAAAATTAATAAACAAATCTCTTGCACTGCTATACACTAACAATGAAAGATCAGAAAGAGAAATTAAGGAAACAATCCCATTTACCATTGCAACAAAAAGAATAAAATACCTAGGAATAAACCTACCTAAGGAGGCAAAAGACCTGTATGCAGAAAACTATAAGACACTGATGAAAGAAATCAGAGATGACACAAACAGATGGAGAGATATACCATGTTCTTGTATTGGAAGAATCAATATTGTGAAAACAACTATACTACCCAAAGCAATCTACATATTCAGTGCAATCCCTATCAAATTACCAATGGCATTTTTCACAGAACTAGAACAAAAAATTTTACAATTTGTATGGAAACACAAAATGACCCTGAATAGCCAAAGCAATCTTGAGAAAGAAAAATGGAGCTGGAGGAATCAGCCTCCCTGACTTCAGACTATACTACAAAGCTACAATGTTCAAGACAGTATGGTACTGGCACAAAAACAGAAAGATAGATCAATGGAACAGGATAGAAAGCCTAGAGATAAACCCACGCACCTGTAGTCACCTAATCTGTGACAAAAGGAGCCCAGAATATACAATGGAGCAAAGACAGCCTCTTCAATAAGTGGTGCTGGGAAAACTGGACAAGTACATGTAAAAGAATGAAATTAGAACACTCCCTAACCATACACAAAAATAAACTCAAAATGGATTAAAGACCTAAATGTAAGGCCAGACACTATAAAATTCTTAGAAGAAAACATAGGCAGCACACTCTCTGATGTAAATCGCAGCAAGATCTTTTTTTAAAAAATTAATTTATTTTTGGCTGCGTTGGGTCCTCGTTGCTTTGCGTGGGCTTTCTTTAGTTGCAGCAAGCGGGGGCTCCTCTTTGTTGCAGTGTGCGGACTTCTCATTGCAGTGGCTTTTCTTGTTGTGGAGCACGGGCTCTAGGCACGTGGACTTCAGTAGTTGTGGAACGCAGGCTCAGTAGTTGTGGTGCGCCAGCTCTAGAGTGCATGCTCAGTAGTTGTGGCGCACGGGCTTAGTTGCTCCGTGGCATGTGGGATCTTCCCTGACCAGGGCTTGAACCTGTGTCCCTTGCATTGGCAGGCGGATTCTTAACCACTGCACCACCAGGGAAGCCTGCAAGATCTTTTTTGACCCACCTCCTAATGAAAATAAAAACAAAAATAAACAAATGGGACCTAATGAAACTTAAAAGCTTTTGCACAGGAAAGGAAATCATAAACAAGATGAAAAGACAACCTCAGAACGGGAGAAAATATTTGCAAACGAAGGAACTGACAAAAGATTAATCTCTAAAATATACAAGCAGCTTATGCAGCTCAATATCAAAAAAAAAAACCCAATCAAAAAATGGTCAGAAGACCTAAATAGACATTTCTGCAAAGAAGACTTACAGATGGCCAACAAACACATGAAAAGATGCTCAACATCACTAATTATTAGAGAGATGCAAATCAAAACTACAATGAGGTATCACCTCACACGGGTCAGAATGGCCATCATCAAAAATCTACAAACAATAAATGCTGGAGAGGGTTTGGAGAAAAGGGAACCTTCTTACACTGTGGGTGGGAATGTAAATTGATATAGCTGCTATGGAAAATAGTGTGGAGGTTCCTTAAAAAACTATAAGTAGAGATACCATATGATACAGCAATCCCACTACTGGGCATATACCCAGAGAAAACTGTAATTCAAAAAGACACATGCACCCCAATATTCATAGCAGCACTATTTACAATAGCTAGGACATGGAAGCAGCCTAATGTCCATCAACAGAGGAATGGATGAAGAAGATATGGTACATATATACAGTGTACCCATTTTGGATTGATGTATTTATTCACAGGTCTGTTGTTTGTCTCTTAGCACCACTAGAGGGCAAACTCCTTGAAGACTGTCTCTGTCTACAGTCTTGGTATGTAGGAGGGGTCAGTACATGAATATTAAATGAATGCATAAAATCAAAACTCTATGGCAGTTACTGAAAAGGTTAAATTTAGAATTACCATATGATCCAGGAGTTCCACTCCTAGGTATATACCCCAAAGAATTAAAACAGGGACTCAAATAGATACCTGTATACCAACGTTCGTGGCAGCGTTATTCACAGTAGCTGATAGGTGGAAAGAAACAAGTGTCCGTCGACAAATGAATGGATAAACAAAATATTGTATATACAAGTGTCTGTCAACAAATGGATGGATAAACAAAATATCATGGATATTTTGGTACCAGGTACCATGGAATATTATTCAGCCATAAAAAGGCATGAAGTTCTGGTACATGTTACAGCATGAGTCTTGAAAACATGATGCTAAGTGAAATAAACCAGACCCATAAGGACAAATACTGTATGATTCCACCTATGTGAAATTTTGAGAATAGGCAAATATATAGAGATAGAAAGTAAATTACAGGTTCCCAGAGGCTGGGGGAAGAGGAGAATTGGGGCAGTTATTGGTTAATGGGCACAGCTTGTTGGGGGGTGATGAAAAAGTTTTATAAGTAGTGGTGATGTTTGCACAACACTGTTAATGTAGTTCATACCGCTGAACCGTACGTGTAACAATGGCTAAAATGGCAAACTTTATAGGTATTGTTATAGGTATTGTATCACAATAAAAAAATCTTGGAACACTTAACAAAAATGATGATTCACCCCTTTTGCTTTCCCACACATCATTCATTGCAGGTGAATTTTTTTCTTGTGCTTGGACACCCTAGACAGTTAGCAGAATGTGTAGGTTGTGCCTCTGGTCCAGCCCAGGAGGCCGTGGCTGCCTTTCCTGTTGGTGCTGGAGGGACTTCCAGGGAGGGGACACAGTGCCTCAGGAGCAGGTTGGTGAGCCCTGGGTTGGTCACGACTTCCCCGGATCTCAGTGCCAGCCCAAGGCCCCTGCTGGCCTTCCTGGTCACCTGAGCTAGCCATCAACCTGAGCATCAATTCGTCAGCGTCATCTTCACCCCGCAGGCCGGGGCGCCTTCTCTCACCCGCCGGGTCCGTGTCATCCAGAGGCTCCAGGCATCCCTCAGTGCTTTGGACAAACACAGCTGAACTCATGCAGCCAAGTGCCGGCTGAGCCAGGGGCTGCTTGGAGAGTGACTCACAGTGAGGGGGTGGGAAAAGGACAGAGGTGCCAGGGAGACTTTCTCTCCTGAGGGCTTTGAATCCCCACGCTAGCTTGGGAGCCGGCCCAAGGTCTCCCGCCAAGCAGGCTGATGCAATCTGGACGGACTCTACAGCCCAAAGAAACATGACCTGCTTCCTTTTCTTCTTCCCCATGACGGCTAGCTTTTTGCCTTATATGAATCATCTCATTCTGTCTTAGTTTGCTTGGGCTGCCATGATAAAATGCTACAGATCTGCTGGTTTAAACAACAGAAATGAGTTTTCTCACAGTTCTGGAGGCTGGGAAATCCAAGATCTAGCTGTCAGCTGGTTCAGTTCCTGGTGAGGGCCCTCTTTCTGGCTTGTAGTCTGACCACCACCCACCGGCTCTCCGTGGCGGCCACTTGCTGGGCACCTCTGGTCTGCCTGCCGGGCTGGGCTCCATGCCCCTTACAGGAGGCACCTGCTCAAAGTGTACATTGGGCCAAGGAGTCGTCTGCTTAGAGCCCTCCAGGGGCTCCCCCATTTGGTCAGATTCCCTGCTCTTCGGAGCATGTGGCTTTGGCAACACACTGGTTAGCACGTGGGGGAAGAGGCCCACGTTTGGACAGACCGTGGGAGTCAGGGTCCTGCAGGCACTGCCTCGGTTAACTCCTGTAGTTTTCCACAAACCTGTGGGTTTCACTCACCCAGCCCGGTGCTCCTACTAATAGCATTTAGTGAATGGAGTCTTTCAAAAGGTGGCTGAAACACTCATTGTTTTCCCCTTTCCAAAGAGAAGGAAAAAAATGTCAAACCTAGGAAAACTATACTGTAAAGAACGTTTTAGCCACCAGCCAAAGAGATTTAAGGCTGGAAAATTCAACCTGTTTTAGTTTTAGAAAAATATTTTTCTTTAACTTGATTTCCAAGAGGGTTTAGGGGAAAAAAAATTTACCATCTGGATGGATTCCATTTTCCTGGGTTGGAATTAGTTATGCAATTTGCAGGGTCGGCAGTGATTCCGAAGAGCAGGGCTCTGAGAAATCAGGGCGTTAAGCATCTTCCGAGGATACTTGATGTTTCTCCAAATGAAAAGCGCCTCCTATGTGAGATGCGATTAGTGAAATTCGTCTGTCGTGATGTCAAAGCGTTTCACCGGGTCAAGTGGTTCAGTCTGAGTTGATGGGGCAGCCTTTCAGGAAGTTAGCGTCAGGCTGATCACACACGTGTAATGCAGGGACTGGTCCTCACCAGAGGCTGATGACAGTTGTCAGACAGGAGCATGTGAAGATGCCATTTCTGCCACTTCCCTGCAAGGTCTTCCTTGGGGGTCACTGTGTCCACTGGGGCTCATGCCATTGCAGTGATCCCAGAAAAAAGGCACCTATTGGCTGCTATACTCGCAGAGTTCAGGGTGTAGCTGGCTTCAGGGGTGGGTGTGTGGGACCTGGTCTCTCTCATCTCTCGGTTTCACCTCACCTTCATCCCCACATGTTGGCTTCCTTCACCAGCTCTCGTGATGGCAAGAGGAGCCCTGGCCTCCATACTTCCAGGTTCCATTGCTTCCAAAAAGAGTTTCTCTTCACCAGTAGCTGACTCGTGTGTCCCAGTGGCAGCTCTGATCAGACCCATCCAGATCATAGGTCCATCCCGAAGCATCCCCGTTGGCCAGGATGTTATGCAGACCGGCCAGTCCTGGGTCCTGGGTCCTAAAGCTGGGTTGGAGGTTGACATTAGCCACGAACCACTTGGACTGATTCTGGGGGAAGAGGGCTCCCCAAAGGGAAACTGGGGCTGTGTTTCTAGGAGTGGGGACATGCTGACCGGCAGGCACAGCAAATGTCTGTACACCTGAGCTCTTCCGTCTTTGCAGTCAGTCCCCTGCTCCCTTCAAACGGCCCTGCTCGAGCCACCCTTCCTTCTCTTCTGAATCCTCGCAGCAACCGTATGAAGGGCTGTTAGGTGTCAGGCAGCTTGGGTGTGAACCCCAGCCCTGCACGCTTTCTCAGCTGCAGCCGTGGGCAGGTCACTTTCCTCTCCTGAACCTCAGTGTCCCCATCTGTCACATGAGAGGGACGGTGTTTTCTTCCCAGGGGGGTCACGAGGGTCAGTGAGTATGTGGAGCCCAGAGTCTGGAAGGCGGGAGGGCTCAGGAAGTGGAGGCTCGTCGTTCAGTGCATTTGTCCGATGGGAAAACTGTGTCACTGTGCCATTGTCCAAGGCCCCACAGCCAGCTAGTAGCTGAGCTGGGATTTGAGCCCGGCCTGTCTCATCCCGAGCCAAGTGTCTGCTCGTTCTGCAGCCTGGCCTCTCCCGTTGACCTTCCTGTTTGGGGAGGGCTTCTCCCAGTACAGCTCACCTCTGCAGGCACCTGGGGTCGGTGCACAAACGCTGTTGCACATCTTCAGTGTACCAGGCACTAAGCTAGACCCTGAGCAGACAAGGCAGAACGAACATTCAGAGAAGTCATTTGATGGGGTGAACCGGGCAGCCCCGAGGATGGAGGATGGATGCTTTGTGCTGTAGGGGTGACCTCTCCAAGAGAGGAAACCGCGAGCTGTGTCTGCCAGAGGAACTGGGGCTGGACAGGCAGCGAGGGGAAGGATGTGGATGCCTTGCCGCTTTAGTGGGGCATATGGAAAGCTGGGTGAGCTGATCGGTGTTCCTTGAATGGAGTTGGCCCAGTGGGTTTGGTCATCATTAAATTGTTGACTCTTGCTGACAGTGGCCTGTAATCTCCTGGTTTCCAGTGTGGAATAATTTGCTGGCTATTTGGTGGTACCATCAGGAAGCTCGGAAGCCCAGCACGTGTAGCTGAATGGCTTCAGCCACTCCAGGTATGGCACGTACCTCCATAGGTATCATCTATGGAGAGCCTTAAAAATTCACAGTAGCTAGGGGTGTGTGTGTGAGTGTGTTTGCAGAAAAAGAAAATAAAACAGAATTAGTGTCAGCCAGAACTTTGTTTGAAATGAGAATTTAAGACTACTTTTAAAAATTGCACTGAGTCTGTCATATTGTTATCACATTAGCTGTCACCAGACTGAATTTTTATAATTATCTCCAACTCACCACTCCCTTTCTCGCCAACATTCTTAATGATCTGAGAGGTAGGCAATTAGAGCAGCTGTCTGACTAGCTGATTCCCTTCTAACACCCGGTAAACTCCAGGAGCAGAAATACACGGGGATGTTTGCAATGACCGAGAGGGGCCACAGGAGCAACGTGAGAGGGATCCGGACAGAAGCCACCTTTGACCTCTCTGCACAGGTGAGCATTCTGCCCGGGGTTCTGGCGGTTCTGGGCAGCGGACCTGTACACAGCGGACGCTCCTTTCTCCCGAGTCCACCTTCCCCCCTGCTGTGTGTGCTCTCAGGCGAGAGGGTGCTCAGCTTCAGAAGAAACGCCTAAGTGCTTTAGTGGACATAGACTCAGCCTTCGTGAGTCTAACACCAGCCAACACTTAAAAAACACCTGCTGTGGGACGGGCACTGCTCCAAGCCCATTATGTACACTCATTAACTTAATGCTTTGGAAAAACTCGGTGAGAACAGGACCTAATCCATTCTCTGGTCCTTCCTAACAGTAGCAGGTAAATGGGTGGAAGAGCGGTCTGTGTTGGCGTGTTCCATCGCACCGTGTGTGATGTGTGTGGCAGGAGGGCACTGTGTGTGCTGGGACCTCCTTCTGGGAGCCAGGTCCTCGGTGCTGGCATGATGCAATGTCTGTACCTGTGAGCTGCACACAAATCCACATGGCAACCGAAATAAAATTTCACAACACTGGGACTTCCCTGGTGGCGCAATGGTTAAGAATCTGCCTGCCAATGCAGGGAACACGGGATCGAGCCCTGGTCAGGGAAGATCCCACATGCCACGGAGTAACTAAGCCTGTGCACCACGACTACTGAGCCTGTGCTCTAGAGCCCACGAGCCACAACTACTGAGCCCACGTGCCACAACTACTGAAGCCCACGTGCCTAGAGCCTGTGCTCCGCAACAAGAGCAGCCACTGCAGTGAGAAGCCCGCACACCACAACGAAGAGTAGTCCCCGCTCACCGCAACTAGAGAAAGCCCGCGTGTAGCAACAAAGACCTGATGCAGCCAAAAATAATAAATAAATAAATAAATTTTAAAAAAAAACAACACTAAAATTTCACAAAACAACCGGACTTTATTATATGGGATGAACTCCAAAATGTAGGTAAGCCCCTCTAACTTGACGTCTCTCCACAAATGGGTCACAGCAAAAACCCTGCTCTGTAAATCCCACCCCATCACCATCTCTTTAGCTCCTGCTCTCAACACCCTGGTGGGTGTTGTCTCATACATGTGCGTGTGGTGACTCAGTCTTCACTTTTTTTTTTTTTTTTTTGCCCTACGCGGGCCTCTCACTGTTGTGGCCTCTCCCATTGCGGAACACAGGCTCCAGAGGCACAGGCTCAGCGGCCATGGCTCATGGGCCCAGCCGCTCCGCAGCATGTGGGATCTTCCCGGACCAGGGCACGAACCCGTGTCCCCTGCGTCGGCAGGCGGACTCCCAACCACTGCGCCACCAGGGAAGCCCTCAGACTTCATTTTGGCTGAGGTTGTCCTTTGCTTTTTTGTTGTTGTTGTTGTTTTTTTTCTATTTTCTTCCCTCATTTAAAAAAAGTTTTTTTTGTTGTAGTATAGTTGCTTTACAATGTTGCATTAGGTTCTACTGTACAGCAAAGTGAATCAGCTATACGTATACGTATACCCCCTCTTTTTTGGATTTCCTTCCTGTTTAGGTCACCACAGAGCATTGAGCCGAGTTCCCTGTGCTATACAGTAGGTTCTCATTAGTTATCTATTTTATACATAGTATCAATAGTGTATATATTTCAATCCCAATCTCCCAATTCATCCCACCTCCCCCCTTTCCCCTTGGTATCTATACACTTGTTCTCTATGTCTCTGTCTTGATTTCTGCTTTGTAAGTAAGATCGCCTGTACCAGTTTTTTCAGATTCCACATATTTGGAATCTGGAGTTTTGTTCCCAGGATTTTTCTGACCCAAGAATGCTAGTTGGAGGTGGTCAGCACTTAGAGTGACAGATGCAGGTGAGGGTTTTGTTGGAGAATGTCCTGTCTTTCCTCTGTCCTGATGCTAGTTCTCTACAGCAGCCAGTGATGTCCAAGGTCATAGTAAGAAGCAAAATAAGGACTGCCAATTTTTGAATGCTCCCTCTGTGCCAGGTCTGTGTCAGACTCTTTCTGTATAGTATAGTATACCACACTCCGTCACAACAACAATCCCATGAACGTGGTAATAGGCCACTTCTGTGCATTGAGCACGTGTGTTAAGTGCCAGGCTAAGCACTCTGCATGCAACATTGTGTTAAATGTTCCATAATGTTATAGGAAGATATCCTTGTCCCCATTTTACAGGTGGAGAAACTGAGACTCACAGAGGTTAGGAAACCGACTTATGGCTATGCCGTTAACGAGAGAATCTCAGGTTCAAGGGGGATTGTCCTTAACAACTTAGCTTTCCTGATGGGACACTGACCAAACATCTTTGGGGTTTTGGCTGCCCCATTTTTTCTCCCGCAACCATGGTAATTGAGGTCACCTTGCTGTCATCAAAGGGAAAAAAATCCCACTCACAATTCTTATTTATTTGTTTCTTCTTACAATTATTATTTTTTGCACAGAAATCATTTCACCAAACAGCATAATGATGTAGCTACCTGCTGCGCTATAGCAGCTGCCACTCTCGGCAGGGAAGTTGCAAAGTTGAAATCGTAATGATGAGAAGACGCCGGTGAACGTGCTGCTTCCTGAGGGAGGGAAGAAGCCCATCGTAAGCTCAGGCCACTGAGGGTTGGCTTGGCAGGGAATGGCTTTCTCCTTCATTGGTTTCTGTGTTTCCCCCTTCATTTCTCTTTTTAAATGTTAGAGCATATCAAATGAGCCCTCTCTCCCTCCAGGGCAGTTTCAGTCTCTTACATTTTTTGGTTGGGCATTCCTGTGGGTTGGTTGTTTTATTTTTATTTTTGGATGATGGATTGAGTAGCGGCATGGAGAGTTTCAAGGTAAGAGAGAGTTTTATTTTTACAGTTTAGGCAAAATCGCAAAAATAAATGAGGCTAAGAGCTCTCTGGCCAAGGCCGTCTCTTTTAGTGCTTGCAGGACTGACCGTTTTGTTGGTCTTCAACAGTTAATTATAAATAGGAACCGACACACATGGCGTGCATTATTTAGATCCAGCTTTTAAAAAAATTTTATTGGAGTATAGTTGATTTACAATGTTGTGCTAGTTTCAGGTGTACAGCAAAGTGAATCAGTTATACATATACGTATGTCCACTTTTTTTTTTTTTTTTAGATTCTTTTCCTATATAGGCCATTACAGAGTATTGCACAGGAGTTCCCTGTGCGATACAGCAGGTTCTTATTGGTTATCTATTTTATATATAGTAGTGTGTGTGGGACTGACATAGATCTAGCTTTAATGCCAGAGTTTTGGCTAAGGCAGACTTTCCAAATCAAGTATTTTTGCCAGAAGTGACAAATTTCCCTTCCCAGAGTAGATCAGATGCTGATGGGAACAGATGGCCTTCTGTCCTCTCCCTGCCCCACCAGAGCTTTTCTGCCAGGCCAGTCTTTCTCTGCTACTTCCCTTCCCACCCTAAGGTGTTAGCATCCCCTTACCACATGAGTTTTGTTGTTTGTTACTGCACCCACCAGAGTCACAATAACTCCTTTCTTTAAGAAGTCCTGGCTGGCCTGATAAGGGCAGCAGCCTCCAGAGACTTAAAAAGAGCTTGTCCATTTATGTTTCTGAAAAGCCCTCGCCTGTGTTAAAAGTTTCTCTGTGCACATATGTGTCAGGGAATGTTTCCTTGGGCTCCAAGACTGTATTTCTTGGCCAGAGGGAAAGTGCAGTCTGTATACTTAAAAATCTGAAATCTGAGATGATCTTTACATGATCAATAGCTTGTCGGTTTGGTTCGGCCACGTCTTCCATATTGTCAGCTTTGATTAAATTTGCTGTTCTGCCTTTTCACCATTCCACCCTCCCTCCCCGGCTCCCCACCCACCTGGGACTCTCCGACCTGTCCCAGGTACCTGGTATCCAGAACTGGCAGTTATGGTCCGTCTCTCCTTAATACGAGGTTGAAGGGTATCCCAGGTGGTAAGCAGAAGGAGGGAGGACCCAGAAGTGAATGGGGGCATTTCCATGGTGATCCTGTTCTAGCTCCTGGAGAGAAAGAAAAAGAAGGCAGAGTTTTGAGCAGAGTGAAAACAAAAAAATACATTTTTTCCCTCTGCTTATTCCTGACCAGTACTAACTTTGGACTGTTTTGAGCTGGAATCCTTGGTCATATCATGGAGACGAGCTAGATGGCATGTTCTAAGATTCTTTCCCTAATAAGATAGAGAATTGTTGACAAATGCTTTTTGGTTTAAGGGCTTAACCATATGAGCTTTTTTTTGCGGTACCCGGGCCTCTCACTGCTGTGGCCTCTCCCGTGGCGGAGCAGAGGCTCCGGACGCGCAGGCTCAGCGGCCATGGCTCACGGGCCCAGCCGCTCCGCGGCATGTGGGATCTTCCTGGACCGGGGCACGAACCCGTGTCCCCTGTACCGGCAGGCGGACTCTCAACCACTGCGCCACCAGGGAAGCCCCATATGAGCTTTTGAGGGAACCTTTCATTATTATATTCATTGATGAGGAAAATGGAGAGGCAGGTTCTGAAACAATCATCCCAAGGCTTAAATGAGGTATTTCTTTTTATAAAAATCAAAATTGTCTGGGCTGAGATTCTAATCAATGGTAGGAATGGGTCACGGTTGCCTAGTAGTCTTGTTTGCGTCCCGGTGTACACATTTAACCTTTGGTTAGTTAGTGGCCATTTAAACAACAGACCCATACCTTAAAGGCAAGAATGTTTAAGACCCAGGAAACAGTGGAGGTCATGAGGAACCAAGTGATTGGTCCAGAAGGGGCAATGCCCAGTAGACAAAATGAAATACATAGACATGGACTCATCTAACTAGGGGCCCTAGATCACTGGATGTTCCATCCTTTCTTGTCAATCTCGAAGGTGGAGTGTTTGGGGGCAAGGGGCGTGTGCAGAGCTGAATACATATCAGCAGGGCTTTTAGGGGTTTGGTGCTGATTATTTAGAAGTCAGAAACTCAGTGTGGAGTGGTCTAGAGAGAAAGAAGCACAATGAAGAAAGCCTTTATACATTAAAGCCATAGGCTCAGACAAATAGTACACATGCCTGTGCAACATTACAAAGAAGAGAGACCCGGAAGAAGTGAATGGACAACTTTCATCCATTGAAAAGTGGCAGCGTATTTTCCTGATTGGAATATTCATTGACAAAGCACTTTAATTTCCAGTCGTTTTCAGAGTTAAGGTGGAGGTGAACAGTGCACGCTGCAGTGATAGCATGGTGGTGTTGAGCTCACGAGGTTGAATTAGGCCACTTTGGGTCGTCTGCTCCTTTTCTGTGAAATCACCCGAGTGGGTACAGGTACACAGTATGGGTCTGCTTCATAGTGTTCATTGCACTGAACCCAGGAGTTGAAATGAGCCATAAGAAAGAAAACTCTGTTGCTTTGGTTTCTGTTTAGGAGTTTGTAATCGACACACCGTGCGAAAATGCTGAGAAGATGTACATTGGAAACGCCATGTACGGGAATTATGCAGCGGTCTTGGCCCAGCTCATCACAAACGGAAGATCTCAAGGTTTGTTACCGACACAGAAACCTAGGATATTTCCCTTTACTAGTACTATTCTCCCGTGAGTACTTTACACAGAAAACCCATCTCAGAGGGCTGTTTCTACCTTGTAAAAAAATTCAGCACTAACATTAACATTATCTCCTAAATATACATGATGAGACGATTTATCATTACATTCAACATTAGACACTATAATAGGCAGTGCACAGTCATAGAACAAAATGAATTTCAAGATCAACATAATTGTACAGTGTCCCAGGAAATGAGCAAAGCTTTGATCATATCTTTAGAGACCTTAGTGTCTCTTCACCTGCCTTAGGACCCCACTGTTTCATCGTTCCTGTCTGCGATGAAAATGGAAGCATGTACCCAGGAGCGACAGCTATTGATATGATGTATAAAGAAGGTGAGTCCCCAGGTGACCCCTCTCTCACCCTTCTTTGCACTTCCTGCCTGTTCCCTACCCCACCCAGTGAGAATCTAACCTAACTCACGAAAGCGGTGAAGGCAGAGAAGACTCTGGTTTTGAAGCCTGGTTAGTCTTCTGTGTATGGCAGTTAGAGAAGGTTGCAGACTACCATTTATAAACACGCATTGGTCCCGTTTCTCCCAGCCTCTCGTGTTTACTAGTCATGAGGCAGCCCTGTCCCCAGCTGTTTCGTCTCCTCTCTCCTTCTTGGACTTGTGGGCCCTCAGAGGGCAGGTTGAGGTTCTCTCTTTCATGGCCCAGAGCCACCAGCCTCAGTGAGTCCTAAGGATTGCCTCTGTGGACTGGTTTGCTAGGGCTGTTGTACTCACACTGAGTGGCTTAAACAACAGAAATGTATCGACTCACAATTGTGGAGGCTACGAGTCCGAGATCAAGGTGTCAGGGGAGTTGGTTCTGAGGGCTGGGATGGGGAGGGTATTCTCCAGACCTCTCTCCTTGGCTTGTACGTGGCCATCTTCATGTTCACATGGCATGCTCCCTGTGTGCCTGTCTGTGTCCAATTTCCTCTTTTTTATAAGGACACCGGTCATTTGAATGAGGGCCCACAAATGCCCTCATTTTAACTTGATCGCCTCTGTACAGACCCTTTCTCCAAATAAGGTTACATTCACGGGTACTAGGGGTGAAGACTGCAACCTATGAATCTTGGGGGAGACACAATGCAACCCAGAATGCTTGGTGAGAGCAGGCCATGCCTGTGGGCTCCACTGGTTATGCCCAGCCAAGTGAAGCCAAAAACGCAGGTAGGGGGAGAAGGGAAAAAAGAGAGAAGAAAGAGCAGAAGAGAAGGGGGAGGAGACGGTCCTTTGGAGGATGGGGCTAAGCTCACCCTGGCCCCGTAGGGATACTGAGCACCTCATGCCTGCAGGAATGGGCTGCAAGTGCTTTAGGTGACTGAGGCCCTGATCCCTTGAAAACACCTGGCGTGTCAAGTGCTGTTGAGGGTAGAGGGCTCACCCAGCCCTCGTGAAGTGGCGCCAGGCATTCATGACACTGGCAAACCCAGAAAGTCTGAGCTGGTCTCCTTGTAAGCTCGTAAGTACCACTGTGACCTTGTCCAGGGGTGATGTTCTAAATAAGACCTGCGCTAGAAAAAGATCTTTTCTCCCAGAGTAAGTCTCCCTAAGTGTGAGATGAACAAAAAATAGACCCCAGATTCCGACAGGTGTCCTGAGGAAATGGGTCTGGCAGATTTCAAGAAACTTCTTGGGAGGTGGTCACCCTACCCACCCACTGCTGTCTCTCTGGCCGCTTCCCAATGTCTTCTAGGCATTTGCTGTCACAAATTCACCCCGTGTTCTGGGGAGGAAGCACCGAGAAGGGGGAGGAATTTGAGTTCTGTGTCACTGGGGGGCGTAAGGGGCTTTCCTCCTCCTCTGTGTTCAGTCTGATGTTCTTTCAGTTGCCTAGAATTCTCCCTTTTCTAGTCACAGCAACTGCTCAGGTGGGAAGCTGTGTCCCCGCCAGACCCCACCCCTCAGCTGGCCTCAGCAGGTGGGCTGCACAGAGGGTCTAGCATTTTCTCCTCTATTCTTGGTAGGGAGGAGGGGGCTGGAGAAGCAGGTACCACTCTTCATGGAAGCAAGCAAACAGCATCCCCACCCCAAATAAGAAAGCAGCAACAATTCTGGAAGTGAGATAAAGGGCTTTGCGTTTTAGCAGCGACAGACCTGGGAAGTGGCCCGGACAGTATTTCTGATGCACATAAACTTGGCCCCCTACAGCTCCGTTTCCTGTCTGCTCTTTCTAGGTCTGCATGGTGTTGATACCGGGATTCTGAGATTTGACAAGGTTCGGATACCAAGGGAGAAGCTGCTGGATAAGTGAGTAGTTGTCTCCTTAATTCGGACTTGCTGTGCGTGGGAGCCCTTTGCCCTCCTTCCCAGGCCTGGTTCCTGGGTCTCATGGGCTGTACATCCAGAGTGTCTTCTCATAACCTCTCCTACAATTTTACTGACAATTAATTGAGAAATGTAGATAAGCAAATCAAAAAAAATTAAAATTATCCCAAATGCTATCACCCAGACACAATGTTTGTTATACTTTCATATATAACACTTTAGACTTTTCTCTATGAGGTTATATCTAATGAGAGAGAGAGATGTTTGATTTTCACTGAATGAGGTCCACTTAGAAATTCTGTTTTTTATAACTTGTAATTTCTGTTTAACATTATATGTCCAGTGTTTCTGTGCAACAGTAAATACACATAGGCATTATCATTTTTATTTTTATTTATTTTATTTTTGGCTGTGTTAGGTCTTCGTTGCTGTGCACAGGCTTTCTCTAGTTAGGGCGAGCGGGGGCTACTCTTCATTGCGGTGCGCGGGCTTCTCATCGTGGTGGCTTTTCTTGTTGCAGAGCACGGGCTCTAGGCATGCAGGCTTCAGTAGTTGTGGCACACGGGCTCAGTAGTTGTGGCTCGCGGGCTCTAGAGTGCGGGCTCAGTAGTTGTGGCGCACGGACTTTGTTGCTTCGCGGCATGCGGGATCTTCCCGGACCAGGGATAGAACCCATGACCCCTTCATTGGCAGGTGGATTCTTAAACACTGTGCCACCAGGAAGCCCCTATCATTTTTAATATTGCCATAATAGACTGTTAAATGATCTATAAATTATGTATGAATCCCTTATTGTTGGTATTTAGATTATTTCCTTAAAAAATTTTTTTTTTGGTTATCATAAAATAATTGGTGTTATTGCCTCCTTTGTGGATGACAGGAGATAAGGTACCATCCTTCTGCTTCAGAGGCTGTTCTAACCAGTACTGATTGGATAATATCAGAGGTGCTTAGTGTCATTGCCCAGCATTGCTCAGTGAGGTCAGATGGGTGAAAGAACGAGATGAAGTTTGCTTCTACAAGTGCATTCCAGGGATGGAGCCCCAGGGGTTCACTATGCTCTTTGCAGAGGCTAAGAAACACCAATTAACTTTACTTTTCTCAGCAGCATTTCATGTATCCAATAAAAATCCTGAACTACAGTGATATTTAAATTTGTGAAGAAGCAAGCCATCAGACTTGCTGCTTGCTTTCCTATAGATTTTCCTTTAACACTCACTCCTTTTTACTTTTTATTTTTAATTAATTTTTATTGGAATATAGTTGATTTACAACGTTGTGTTAGTTTCAGGTGTACAGCAAAGTGAATCAGTTATACATATACATATATCCACTCTTTTAGATTCTGTTCCCATATAGGTCATTACAGAGTATTGAGTAGAGTTCTCTGCGCTATACAGTAGGTTCTTATTAGTTATCTACTTTATATATAGTAGTGTGTATATGTTACTCCCAGTCTCCCAGTTTATCCCTCTCCTCCCTTTCACCCCTGATAACCATAGGTTTGTTTTCTACATCTGTGACTCTATTTCTGTTTTGTAGATAGGTTCATTTGTACCATTTTTTAAGATTCCACATATAAGTGATATCATGTGTTATTTGTCTTTGTCTGACTTCACTTAGTATGGCAATCTCTAGGTCCATCCATGTTGCTGCAAATGGCATTATTGCGTTCTTTTTTATGGCCGAGTAATATTCCATTGCATATATGTACCACATCTTCTTTATCCATTCCTCTGTTGATGGGCATTTAGGTTGCTTCCATGTCCTGGCTACTGTAAATAGTGCTGCAATGAACACTGGGGCAACTTTACTCCTTTTTACTGCCTGCAAGTTCTTGCCAGTAAATAAACGTCACAGATGCCAAAAGTTTAAGGAAGATATGGTGGAAACAAACTTAAAATGGACCAAATTCTGGTTGACATTTTTCCCTCTGGGAATTGGTAAGAAATGAAATGGAAACAACAAAAGCATCTTTGTAGTTGTCCTGGTGGGTGATGAAGGCCCCAGGCCTCCTCAGGAATGACCAGTGCCCATGCCAGCAAATCATAGGACCACCAGCCTTCCCCAGAGGTGCCTGTACCTTTCCTGGTGACTAATCAGCATCACTCCACTCCTGGAGATGGGGAAGAGGGAAGGAAAGCCACAGATTTGGAGCTCTCCATTTTTCACCCATACTAACAGGATCTTAGTGGACTGGACAGTCCTCGGCCAGAACCTGGACCCACTGGCTTAGCATTCATCCAATGCACTAGGGATTAGAAAGTCAGATTCAACCAGAAAGAAAAATGATAGGGAGCTACACGGTCTGTAGAAAATATGAGAATATATAGAATATTCTTTGGTAAGCAAGATTTGATTTAAAAGCCATTCCATAGGTATTTAAGCTGCCCCCCAAATACTACAGCAGAGGCAACACACTTTGAGGGTGTTGGTTTATCATTTGATCAGAAAGGGGTCTGTAAGCAGATGTACAGATTCAATGAAATTCCTGTCAAAATCCCAGCTGCCTTTTTCTTTTTTTTGAAAAAACTGAGAAACTGGTTCTAAAATTCATATGGAAATGCAAGAGACTCAGACTACCCAAAACAATGTTGATAAAGGAGAACAAAGTAGGAGGACTCACATCCCTGATTTGAAAAATTACTACAAATCTACAGTTATCAAGATAGTGTGGAATTGGCATAAGGCTAGATGTATGGACAATGGAATAGATAGAGGATCTAGAGATAAATCCTTGCACTTATGGTCAATTGATACTCAACAAAGGTGACAAGATAATTTAATGGGGAAAAATGGTCTTCTCAACAAATGGTGCTGGCACAACGGATATCATAAGCATGAAGTTAGACCTTTACCTCATATGATATACAAAAATTAACACAAGATGGATCACAGATCTAAATGGTAAGAGCTAAAAGTATAAAACTCATAAAAGAAAACATAGGTGCTGGGACTTCCCTGGTGGTCCAGTGGTTAAGACTCCACACTCCCAATGCAGGGGGCCCAGGTTCGATCCCTGGTCAGGGAACTAGATCTCTCATGCCTCAACTAAGAGTCCACACGCCGCAACTAAGACCCAGGCAGCCAAATAAATAAATATTAAAAAAAAGAAGACATAGGTATAAACCTTTGTGACCTTGTTTAGGCAGTGATTTCTTAGGTGTGACACCAAAAGCACAAGGAACCAAAGAAAAAATAGATAAATTGGACGTCATCAAAATTAAAAAACTTGTGCAGCAAAGGACACTATGAAGAAAGTGAAAAGACAATCCACAGAGTGGGAGAAAATATTTGCAAATCTTATATATCATAAGAACCTAGTATCCAGACTGTAAAAGGAACTATATTACAGCTCAACAGTAAGAAGACACATGACCCAATTAAAAATGGGCAAAAATATGAATAGACACTTATCCAAAGAAGATATTGAAATGGCTAATAAGCACATCAACATCACTGTCGTTAAGGAAATGCCAATGAAAACCACAGTGAAGTACCACTTTGCGCTCCCTTCATGGCTGTAATAAAAGAAACAGATGATAACGAGTGTTGGTGAGGGTGAGGAGAAACTGGAGCCCTCATCCATTGCTGGGGGGGATGTAAACTGGTGTGGTCAACCTGGAGAAGAATTTGGCCATTCTTCAAAAGTTGAACGTCTTCATAGGACCTAGCAATTCTACTCCTCGGTCTTTACGAAGACGTTGTCTACAAGAGAATTGAAAATATATATCCACACAAAAACTTGTGTACAAATGTTCATAACAGTTATTCATAAGAGCCAAAAAAAGTGGAAACAGCACAAATATCCATCAACTGATGAATGGATAAACAACATAAGGTATATCCGTACAATGGAACATCATTTGGCCATAAAAAGAAATGAAATACCGATACATGTTACAACATGCGTGAACCTTGAAAACAGTGGGTCAAGTGAAAGAAGCCAGACACAAAGGCCACACACTGTATGCTACTACTTATGTGAAATGGCCAGAATAGACAAATCCATAGAGTTAGAAAGTAGATTAATGGTTGCCGGGCTCTGGAGGGTAGGGGGTATGGGACAGGACTGCTAATGGTATGGGGTTTCTTTTTGGGGTGATGAAATGCTTTGAAATTGGATAGTGGTCATGGTTGTACAACTTCGTGAATATACTAAAAACCGTTGAACTGTACGCTTTAAAAAGGTGAAGTTCATGGTAAATGATTTGTATCTCAACAACAAAAAAGTAGATTAGGGGTTTCCCTGGTGGCGCAGTGGTTGAGCGTCCGCCTGCCGATGCAGGGGACGCAGGTTCGTGCCCCGGTCCGGGAAGATCCCACGTGCCGCAGAGCGGCTGGGCCCGTGAGCCATGGCCGCTGAGCCTGCGCGTCCGGAGCCTGTGCTCTGCAGTGGGAGAGGCCACAACAGTGAGAGGCCCGCGTAACACACACACACACACACACACACACACACACACACACACACACACA